CAGTAAACTGCAGTGGTTCTCAGTCTTCATGTTGTGTGGTGGAGTCACACTTGTTCAGTGGAAACCAGCTCAAGCTACAAAAGTTCAGGCAAGGTTTACAGCTAATTTTCTCTCTCTGTACCTGTTGTCTTTAACCATTTTTTATTTCTATACATGTGTATGAAGAGGTGGAGTTGAGAATGGCAAGGTATCTTCATCAGAAGAGGAGCCACACAAGAGGCAATCATGAACATTTTGTGACCAGGAAGCTTTTGCTCAGTGATCTCCGGGATAATTTTGTGTTGGACTATGGAGAAAGCTGTAAATCAAGTTCTGTAGTTAAATCTTGCGTGGCCTAGATGAATCAGTAGTGGGATGGGCCAAGATGTGCTGCTCTTGTAAAAGAATGATATGCATGGCTTGGCTTTTGAAAATAATTGCTGACGCTGCAGTCCTGCATAAACATTTCCTTTTGTTCATTTTTAGGTGGAGCAGAGTCCATTGATAGGCTTTGGTGCAATAGCTGTGGCTGTTTTATGCTCAGGATTTGCAGGTAAAACGCACTGCTGCAGTTTGCCTTGGGTTCTAGGAGCTTCCTTGTAACTGAGACTAGTTGGTCAACTGAGGTGCCCCCACCCCATGTTCCCTTTGGAGCTCAGGGGCCACTGCAGCATAGCTCCTTTCTGTGCCACTCAGGTAACACTGGGTCACAGAGGAAGAGATTGTGCTCTGGCTCTTCCCCAGGTCAGTCTGGTTCTTCCCAGAGGTGCAGGGCAGTGCTGCCATAGGCAGGAGTCTTGGGTTTCTCAAGTCACCTTTTTAGTGTGGGAGCCACTCCTGTGCAGCAAAAGTCAGATAACAAGGGGAACTTCAGCTCTAATGGCCTGTTGTGGAGAGGGCAGGAGAGGGAAAGAGAAGCCTGGGCTGGGAGAGAGGGCTGGGGGCGATGGTTGCTGCAGCAGTGGGCCTGCCAAGCTTGACTTCTCCTGCAAATAACATTTGAAAGAGTCTGTGCATATTGTATTCTGCTTGAGAGTATGTGGCGGAAGTGAGGTGAGTCTCAAAAGCAGTTCTAATTCAATGTCCTTTTGCACTAGTGGCAGACACTATACAGTATCTGTTTACCACGATCCCCATGAAAGCTTTCTTTATTTTCTATATTTAAGTCCTTGCAGCATGCATTTAGTTGATACATTTTGCTAGCCATGTTTGTTACAAAAGCCCTAAGGTTTATGCCACTTTGTCTCATTTATAAATCTAAGTGTAACGATTGCAAAGTGAGAATGGAAACAATGAGGGCCTGTGAACATCTGCCATGTTTTCTATTTTGAAAGCAGAAAAGGATTTTATTCAGCCAGGTTCATTGGCTGACAGTGCAGTCCTAGGCAGAGTTACTCCAGTCTAAGCCCACTGAAATCACGGTAAACTGTGGAAATCCAGGCTGAAAGCACCTGGTGTATTTGAACCTTCTGTTCCTTTCTGCCTTAGAAGTGACTTATTTCTGCTCTAGAGTGTCTGTTTCTCCCTCGTTCCCTTTTCAGGAGTATATTTTGAGAAGGTGCTGAAGAGTTCAGATACGTCTTTATGGGTCAGGAACATTCAGATGTACCTCTCTGGAATTACTGTGACCTTGGCTGGTGTCTACATGTACGATGGAGCTCAAGTAATCGAGAAGGGCTTTTTTTATGGCTATACGCATTACGTCTGGTTTGTCATCTGTAAGTATTTTGTTCACGTTTTGTCTTAAATTCTACCTGCCCGGCCCTTGAAACTTTAAAAAAAACAACAACATCTGGCCAGTGGCATGTGACATTAAATTTGGAAATTCCTTCCATCGGAGGAAATTAAATGCTGGATCCAGCCCATTGCCTGATTCAGAAACTGGCGCCTGCAAATATGGACTTGGGTTGTGTGGTGCAGTGATTCCTGCCTAGCTGTGTGAACTTTATTACTGTTGTGAAAATTTGACCATCAATGTAGCCATATGTGAAGACTAATGTCAACTTTTTATGGGCCCTGAAGCCAGAGAATGCCATTCCTGGAACACACAGAGGTTGCTTAAATGATGCTGCAATTGGTATAACTGACACTTGCAACTCCTCTTATGAGAAAAAAAAATAGATATGGTAAAGGGTATTTTATTGACCTGAAAGGGGGTGACACCAAATGTAAGACACCCCCCCCCCAAGAGAAGCCTGGAGGAACAAAAGGATAACCCTTAACTTAAGACGACCCTACTCTCTACACACGTCTGGCCCGAGTCATGAAGTGCAGGAGCAGAGAGAGGAGCATGCACCTCCCCCTCACCAGCTGGCTTGCCAGACCGCAAGCAGCCTGGTGAGGGCAGCTGTGTGTGTGTGGAGGGGCACTCTTCTCTTCCTCCCTCCCTTCTGGGGCAATGCTTGTGGTCTTGCCAGCCAGCTGGTGGAGGTAGGGGCACACTCCTCTCTCTGCCCTAGCACCTCCTGGCTGGTGCAAAAAGGCTTCGGGGTGAGAGAGGATACCCCACACCCATCTATAGAGCCAAACAGAAGGTGACCCCAGGGTTGTCTTCATTTGAATAAAACCAGTATTTTCTTAACCATTGTTTCAACCCAGTATGGCAAACAGCTCTGTACATGAAGCAAGTGTACAGTTTACTAATGAGCACATCTCCTTTGCTTCCCAGTTCTTTCAAGCGTCGGAGGCCTCTACACTTCCATTGTTGTTAAATACACAGATAACATCATGAAAGGGTTTTCTGCAGCCGCTGCCATTGTTCTCTCTACAGTTGCATCGGTTATTCTCTTTGGCTTACAGATAAGTAAGTTGCATTTAGTTGTGGCTTAGTTATTCTCATCACCCCAAGAAATGTTTGTGGCCCAATCTTGGGAGGGATCTGCTGGCAGATAACGGTTTAGGACAAGCTTGCATGCCTGCTCTGACAGGGCGTTGTCATTGTGTGTGGCAGTGTGGATACTAAGTATTTAATCCCGAGAGGACAACCCACTGGCAAAACAGTGCACAGTAAGAATCTGCATCTCTTTCGGAAACTCTGTCTCTAGTTGAGGAATCTAGAATCTATATTCATACAATAGTTTTGCAGTAAGACAACTTGTATGCATTTCAGAACTACACTACAGTCTGAAAAAGGCTTGTCTTGCTAATAAACATAACATGGTATCCAATACCAAGATGGTAATATTTTCTTGCTTAGATTTTCAGTGGCTGGCTCGTAATGCTTAGATTTCAAAATATTTTCCATCATCCCAGCATCAAGTGCAAGAGCACCTCCTAGCAGAGGTTCTGAAACCACTTAAGGAACATCTTCAGTATATCTGATTTTCAGCATAACCCCATCTGTAGATACTTAAATCTGTAGATTGGGCCCATGTACAGACGAAATAAACATTTCTGCAAGCCAGAGAAAAGCCCCAGGTTTGCAGAAAAATCTGAAATCTTAAAAAAAATATCCATGGGGATGGGTTAAAAATCAAAAATAATAGATGCAGCACTGGTTCATTTAAGAAACAAATGCCCTCTGCAGTGACCAGCATGAGTGATACTAGGTAACCACAACAATATTGCCAGGATTCAAACCTTGGTTTCTTTAACTAAAAGGCATGGTGGGTGGCAGGGTCTTTTCCAGGCCTATTTTGGCCCTTGAGGGAGAACTCATCAGGGCCAGGGCCAGCACAGCAGCCACTGGTTAGAGTTTCACACTAGGATCTGGGAGACAAAAGTTCAAATCCCCACTGTGTCATGGAAGCTCACTAGGTGAAGTCTAAAATATACACATTGCTGGTAATCCCCCCAATAATAGAAGCAGCACCTATGCCTTTAAGAAAGGACATCTCAGTGGCTAATGGTGTTGCTAGGCAACCATATTGCCATCCTTTAAACATTAGTTTCTGTCAATAACAAAGCACGGGGGAGGGGACAGGGCTCTTTTCAGAATCTACCAGTCCACCTCTGTTCCTTTCCCTCCTGCCATGGAGGGGAGGACTCATCAGGGCCAACACCAACAGCAACCTACAGGAAAACTGCTTCCGAGCAATTTGTGCAACTCACCCAGGTGTTATGGTGGTTACTAGGGGTGTGCATTTGGGTCTACCTGAACCAAAAATATACTCAAAAAACACCTTATTGGTATTTTTCAGCATCCCAAATGTATCTGGGATTTTTTGGGAGAACTGAAAAAAAAAATTCCTGAAAAATTCCAGATATATTTGGGCATTACTGGCAAACCCAGAACAGCTGGAATAGTTGAAGGGCTGGAGAAGATTGCTCTTGCCGCTCAGCTGTTTTTTGGCTTTCTTCTGCAGTCCCTTTAAAGAGGGTATTTAAAGGGACTGAAGAAGACAGCACTCAAAACAGCCGAGGGGGGCAGTCTCCCCGCTGGCTCAGGATCCACTGATTTGCGAGCTCTTTTGGGCTGTCTGGTTTAAAGCTGAGCATAGATGGCTTTAAAAAGCGATTAGACAGATTCATGGAGGATAGGTTACCACTAGCCATGGTGACTGAAGGGAACCACCACATTCAGAGACGGTAAAGTTCTGAATCCTGGTGGCAGGAGGTAACATCAGAGGAAGGCCTCAGCCTCTATTCCTATTGTTGGCCCTCTAGAGCAGGGGTGTCAAACTCATTTGTTTTGAGGGCCAGATCTGACATAAATGAGACCTTGTTGGGCCGGGCCATGTGTGTCATAAAAGGTAATGCCAGGTAGCGAAGATATAAACTTTATAAAAGACACAAACACAATTAAAGATTTTAAAAACTGTAAATAACACATTTCCAGTGAGTTCGACACCCCTGCTCTAGAGTAACTGGTTGGCCACTGTGTGAAACAGAATGCCAGACTAGTGATTCAGCAGGGCAGGGGTTTTTTTTAGGTTTCCATTTGGATTAGAATGTCTTAAACCATGTGTGTTTTGCTTTCCATTTTTAGCTGTACCATTCTCTTTTGGTGCTCTTCTTGTATGCATTTCAATATATCTGTATGGGCTGCCTCGACAAGACACCATGAAAATCCAGCCAGTGGAGACAAAGGTGTCAAAACAGAATCTTGTTAATGTGTGATATTTGCCATCACAAAGAACATTAAAGACAATACAAATAGAGAAGATTTGACTGGGAGGGATCTTTGTTTTATTTTCAAGAAGCCTTAAACTGATTATGGAAGACTTTTCTGCTTAAACAAAAAGTGAAGGTAATCGGTGAAATGAAGGTTTACTCTGGGTGGGGGGGAGTTTACACTGGAAGGTGGGATACTACAGTAAGTTTTGAAGCATTGCTTTTCATGTATGGTTATATATTGTATATAAAACAGAGGGGATGCCATTGAAATTCATTTTAATCAAATGTGATATACTGTCTCTTTGTAGGCAGAAATGTCTGTAACTTGAGATGTCTTTGAAAAGAGAGCGGTTACATTTACTAACTTGGTAATTCAATGTTTAATATTTTGGTCATATTGTACAGAAGGCACTTTGTTCTTTGACAAATGTGTGTATCAGACTTTTCAGATTTGGATAGTTGTCAAACTGCTTTTTTATGAGGAGCTAAGTTGTAACTGAAATGAAACAAAAGACTTGCGGAACAGAAATGGTGCTGAGGGGAGACACTATGCCCTCGGTTGGTTGTTAAAATGAATGTATTTTTTTTTTGTTGAAACAGATTCTGTGGTTTTAAGCTTTCAACATGATGCATCTAAGACACTACTCTTTACAATGGCCGAATGAGCTTTTATTCTTTTAAAAGGAATTTTCTACTGAGATAGGGCTTTTTATACTCTTTTGTATAAATACCATTAGAATGATAAAGACATTCTTGCATCAGTAAGGTAGTGCTATGTGCCATTTTGGGTTGAACCCTTATACTTGCTGGGACTTTTTTATATTTGGGAAAGGGCCAAAGCAGTGTGTGATAAACATTTTCGGATGTGTATTGATTCACCCCTTTCCTCATACAAGATGCTGCCGATTGAAATAGATACAAGAGGAAAATGTTTTATTCGGTGTGATAGCTGCTTTTGAAAAAGTACAAGGGTTTTTTTGTTATACATTTTATCCCTTGCAAGTTAGCCGATTTCAGGAAGAACCAATTTACAATTGAATGAAACTGGAAGGCAGAATGAATGCTAGTCAAGATTATCTGACAGGGGGAAATGCTAGAACCTAAAGCTTATCTTAACTTCACGGGAAGTATGTGTATTTTTCCAGTTATACATATATAAATCCCTTATATTCAGTGCCAAATGCCCACAAGGCTATAACTCTCACTGTGTTTTTATAGCATCTGCCAGTAAGGGGATTGTCAGAGGGAGGGGAGGAAGTACAGGCATTGCTCCCATTGTGAATTTTCAATGAACCATGCAAGTGTCTTTGTATTGTATTTTGTCACTTGGGCTTTATGTTTTCGTAAGATACTTTAGCAGGCAGTTTGGGCAGCAAAGAAGGACAAATTGTACCTTATTTGTGAAGCGTTAAAGAAGATGAGGACTCCTTTCTTAAGTTTTCTGTGCCACAGACTGCCTGCTTCCATTCTGCTTTAAGTCAGTGCAATGGCAGTTTGTGAAATTATTGCTACAGGGCAAAAAATGGTAGATTGGGCTTTTCTCAGTCTTCCTAATTCTGAGGCTGTATAAATGCTAAGGGAGCTGCGGTGGCTCAAGTGGTTAAGACACTGAACTGCGGGCTGTGGAAGGTCGGTAGTTCAGCAGTTCGAGACCCGAGTGTGCCGCATGACCGAGTGAGCTCCCGTCTCTAGTTCCAGCTCCTGCCAACCTAGCAGTTCGAAAGCAAGAAATTGCAAGTAGATAAATAGGTACCACTTCAGTGGGAAGGTAACAGCGTTCCATGCGCCTTGGGGTTTAGTCACGCCGGCCACATGACCACGGAAACGTCTTCGGACAGCGCTGGCTCTTTGGCTTTGAAACGGAGATGAGCACCGCAACCCTAGAGTCGGATTCGACTGGCTTTCGAGCAAGGGAACCTTTACCTTTATAAATGCTAAATTGTAATTAAGAAAACAGGGCAAAATTTATGGAGTGTTCTCTATAGGGCACCCTTGTGGCCCTGATTGTTCAACTGAGCCTATTAGAAGAACAAAAAGGACTCTTGCTGCAATTTTGTGGGAATCTCCTGTGAAGATCCGCCTGCCAGGCTTGAAGTGAGCAGGGGGATAACCAACAGGCGTTCCCTGCAGTAGTAACAAGACCTCTTTTTTGTTGCTGCAGTAGACAGCTCTCTTTCCTTCCTATAACATGGCATTTTGGAGAACAGAAAGAGTGGGTCTGCATGTAACATAAGGGAAGTGGGTGGGAAACTGTGCTGATTAGGGAGAAATCCTGAAAATCCTTGTTCACTGATTTCCTTTGACAGAAGGAGCCACTGTGGCTTGCGATTTTTTTTTTTTAATCCAGAGCAGAATGATGTGACTTCTGACTGGTCCAAAATAGTTAAGTTATTAGGCTTCTGCTTTTTTTTCTTGCTTCCCCTGTTCCCTCCCCCCCCCCCCCCCCCGAAGTTTTTTATCGTTACTTAGCTTCGTATAGCTGGGTTTGTTGTTGTGAAGTTTCAATTTTGCCTCCGCTGGGCTCGGCTTTTCCTCACACACAGCGCGGTTGTGTTGGGCGTCCTTGGGATTTTCTGCCTTGAGACGAACCTGGTGAGCCAGAAGGGTTGCTACCCTTACTGTTTAAGGTTGAAAAGTCTCCTGCCTTTTCTCTCCCTCCAAGAAAGAGTTTGGGTCTTTTGTTTTGACCAAAAAACCCCCTAAGGAATAGCAGAGCGCACAGTGCGATCTCTGTGTGCGCCTGCTCTCGTCAAGCCCGGAACTGGATCTGAATGATCTGACTGGTCCAACATAGTAAAGTTAACGAAGTTTTCCAGATTACAAAGTTGTTTCACAATCTTCATCTGAACGGGACCATGAGTATCTTTTCAGAACAGTAATACAAAAATTATAATTGTGCAATGTACCATATTAAACATCTTGTAATAATTCATTTTTATATATATATAAATTTTTATAAATTTTAAAATTTTTCAATGAATTTTATTACATACATTAAATGTCTCCTAGTATTTTATTATTATTGAAATATTTAAAAAGCAATACCTGATGGGTGTATTATGAGTGTATACCTTTAAATTTGACGCCAGTGGGATGGTCGCTAATGAACGTTTGTACCTAAAGAACGCCCGTCATTAACAACTTTCAATGCTCTTTAGCATTATTTTGCTTTGATGGCCCAATTCCAACCATAGATGCACTTTAGTAATATGGAAACTTGGTGAGTCCCTTTTTGGTTTCCCCTCCTTTTGATTATCAGTAAAAGAATGTTTTCCCTTCCTTTGATTTTGATTATTGTTAAAGTTTGTCAAAGAGTTGTTCAGCCTTATATGATACTAAAGAACTTTATCTTTTCTATAGATTTTGTTCAGAGAATTATGCAGCACATAAAAAATGAAGTTTTGCAGGTATTGCTTTTTAAATAATTATTTCAGTAATAATAAAATACTAGGAGACATTTAATGTATAATAAAATTTATTGAAAAATTTAAAATTTATAAAAATTGATATGTATAAAAATGAATCTACAAGCTGTTTAATATGGTACATTGCACAATTATAATAATGTTTCTATTGTTAGTTCTGAAAAGATACTCATGGTTCCGTTCAGATGAAGACTGCGTAACAACTCTGTAATCTGGAAAACTTCATTTACTATTTTGGACCCCTCCTCACATGTATGTGATTGTTGGACGAGTCAAAATGGCACTGAGTTTTGTAAATCTTGTAATTTTGGTTCTTAGCAAAAATACACAGCTTTTTTCGTTTCTTTCACTTGTATGGCACTATGAGCTGTGGTTCTCTATTGTTGTAGTGACTTCTGACTGCCATCAAAGGCCCCTCCTGAGTAACTCCACCTTACAACATCTCTTAGAAGTCAGACAATAGCTAGCAGCTGAAGATTGTGAGAAGACTGGCAAAGCAGCTTATCATATCTGAAGGCGAGAAAGGAAACAGCTGGCTGTCCTTCAAAATCAAGGTTTTTTTCAGTCATTCCACAGAATGAGCACCACCCAAGCCCATACTGTGGTATGACAGAATCACAGGACTGACAGTCTTTTAACAGAGGTATTAATACATTCTACTGTTTGCTTAGTGGCATAACCAGAGGGCTTTTGGCACACAGTTATTCCTTAAACTTAAAATAATCCTTTTGCACTGAGCAAGAGAGAAGACACACACAAAAAAAAGCACAACAGCTTCTGATATTTGAAACAGATATATTTTAGGACAGTCATAGAAAAAGTCTTCTCATTACATTTTAGTTACAGGTGTGATTCCTAGAAGTTTCATTCCATTAGCCAGAACAGTGCGTGCAGCCTGGAACAGACAGATCCTTGCCTGCAGAACAGATGAGGGAAGGCAATCAAGGTGTTGTTGTTCTTAAATCATCTCCTTTGAAAAGCAACTTCAAGAAGGAAAACAACAGGCAAATGAGCTGGTTTTGAGCAACACGTTAGAGGTGCTAATGTACGAACAGGAGTGAATGTCCAGTTTGCACCAATAACCATCTTGTCTGTAGTTTAGTCTTAAGGAATTGTAAAGCCATCCACATGTACACAAGAAGTACACGTGTGTGTTAGTATTCTGAACTCTTGACGATCCTTACGTCCATAAAAATAACCAGAAGTAGGTAATATTCTCTAGTAATATCCCACCCACCTCTTTGCCATGAATGTTGCTTCCAACTCTTGGAAAATGCAAATGTATTGTAATATGTGAAGGGGACTGCTGTGCAAGACTGTCGTGCTGACTTCCAGGGATTATGGTACATGTGTGTTAATACAGAATTACAATATGTAAAGTGGGTCTATCATAAATGCATGGACCTAGTCTCTGATACGCATCAAGAAAACACAGGTGCTTTTCCCCAATTATTTTTTCTCATACTGCTTTTGTTTACATGTTGGCAGTAATTCACTATAAGGGATCCAAAGCTTTGTTCTGAAGACAGGACAGCTACTGTTTATTTAGATACATGAGGCCTCCCCCACCTTCCACCTGTGCAATGAAGCCATCAAAAGCAAATGCAACGTGTGTCTTTAGGCTTCTCCTAAGAAGTAGGGAAGGTGAGCTACTACAAGGTGACAGCATGTCAGGGGTCTTATTTCATCAGAGTTCTAAGGACTAACCAGCTATTAAACTGATACAACCTTTGTTTTAGCTGACTAAACAGGTGTGAACAAATTCTCTTGTCAGCTGGACTAAATAGTAATGACATGCAGTTTCAGTCCAAGGCTATTTTAGTTGTGGTACATTACTAAACTAGGGAATAAAAAGAGAAAAATATTGAAGACAGACTTCCCCTTCTAACAAGGACTGGCAGATAGTGTTTATTATCTCTTGCCTCAGTATCACAGAACCTGTACCTGTAATGAAATTCTGGAAATGTGCAAATTCATAGAAATGTAACGGTCTTTTAGCCAATTAACTGAGTCAGTAGATGATCAATCAATTAAAATTTCTTTAATTGGATTGACAGACTAGCTTTCCACCTCCAGCATTTGTAACTCTGCCTCACTTTGGCACAGTACAGCTTGGAGCGCAGGTGGTGTTATGAGAATAGCACTTGAGACAGAAAACAATCATGTGGGAAG